CTTCCCCCTTCCAGATGGAGAAACTGAGAGATGAAGTCACTGTCAAGGTCATACCATGTAAGTGGCAGAGCCCAGATTCAACCCAAATTTACCCCCACAGCCGTGATCTTGTACAAACTGCCTTTATTTTTTCTTCCTTTTTTGGTAATAGTATTGAACCCAGGGGTGCTTTACCACTGAGCTACATCTCCAGATCGCTGAGGCTAACCTCGAACCTGTGAGCCTCCTGCCTCAGGCTCCTGAGTCACCCAGCTACCAAACTACCTTTGAAAAAACGACAGACTTGAACAAATACATTTGTTAAGTGAACATATTACATATTGTTGTAAATATGGGTTGTTCACCCAATCTCTCTCTTTTTTTTTTTTAGAGAGACAGAGAGAGAGAATTTATATACATATATATATATTTTTTACTTTTGGGTGGACACAACATCTTTATTTTTATGTGGTACTGAGGATCGAACCCAGCGCCCCGCGCATGCCAGGCGAGCGCATTACCGCTTGAGCCACCTCCCCAGCCCACCCAGTCTCTTTTTAATTTTTAAAAAAATCTTACTACTAATTAAACAAAGAGGTGGAAACGATGAAGAGCAATGAGTTAAAACCACAAAAACGGTTATACTCAATACTGGAGTTCTCATACACAACTGCTGGACATATAAGCACATGCTTTAGAACAAGGAATTTGGCCAAATACAGCCAAATATTTAAAAATATGTAGCAATGCCGTTTTTACCTAAGAGGGAAAAATCATTGATATGTGTAACAGTTCAGATATTTATATGTTAATAGTAACATTGTTTTAAAAAGTGAAAAATTAGCTGGGCTCAGTGGTGCACATCTGTAATCCCAGTGGCCCTAGAGGCTGAGACAGGAGGATCACAAGTTCAAGAACAATCTCAGCAACTTAGTGAGGTCCTAAACAACTTAGTGAGATCCTATCTTTTTTTTTTTTGATAATATTTATTCCTAAGTTTTAGGTGGACACAGTATCTTTACACTTATGTGGTGCTGAGGATCAAACCCAGTGCCTCGTTATGTTAAGCGAGCACTCTACCACTGAGCCACATCACCACCCCTTTTTCTTTTTTATAAGATAGGGCTGGGGTTGAGCACTCCTTGGTTAAGCACTACTTGGTTAAATCTCCAGTACAAAAACAAAATGGAAAATTGGAAATAACTAATTTAACATAAAGGTCAAAAATCAAATAAACAAGGCTGGTGTATAGCTCAATGGCAGAGCATTTGCCTTACATGAGCGAGGTCCGGGGTTTGGTCCCTAACAAACAGACAAACAAAAAACCTACAAATAAACAGTGCTGGAGATATGGCTCAGTGATGAGGGTTTGCCTAGCATGTGCAAAGGCCTGGGTTCAATCCCCAGCACCAAATAAGTATAATAGGTACACAATGAGATCTAGGCAACTACTTTAAAATGATAATTATAGCACTCTATTCAATGACATAGAAAAATACATAAGTGACAAAAATATACATTTGGTTCAAAATTTTAAAGGGGTATGTGTGTATTATGAAACCTGTTCATATGTCCGTGAATGAATTTATAAAAAGACATATGCACCAAAAATATTAGAATTGCTTAGCAAATATCTGGGAATTATGAGTAGCTTTCAACTTTACATGTCTTTCTACATTTCTAATAACTACATATTACTTTTATATTCACAAAATAGTAATTTTTAAAAAGGCATTCCCTTTATCACATTAATTTTATGTCTCAGGATTTATCCTAAGGAAGTAATCCAAAATTCAGAAAAGAGGCAGAGCATGGTGAGACACGCCTGTGATCCCAGCCACTTGGGAGGCTGAGGCTGCAGGATTGCAAGTTTGAGGCCAGCTTTGGCAACTTAGGGAGAACTTGACTCAACATAAAAAATGAAAAGGGCTGGAGATGTAACAGATGTAGTATTTAGCTCAGTGGTGCAGTGCCACTGGGTTTAATCCCCAGTGCCAACACTAAAACAAAACAAAACAAAATGTTCATATTGAGTAATTTGTAAAAGGAAATGAAACTAACAACCTAAATGTCTAATACTTGGAAACAGCCATGTAAAATACATTAATTCCATACTTGCTGACTATGACATGCTATTTAATAAGAAAGCAATTTTTTTTTATCATCATGTAAAAGAGGGCTGGCTTGATCTGTGTGGCTTCAAAGAATCAGAACCAAAAGGTGGAACCAAGGCAAGGGTAGGTTTTGATTCAGTGCAGAAGAATGTTCCCACCATGCAGGAAGCTGCTTGCAAGGGTATAAGCTCCCTGCCACTGGGATTTCCCAAGTGAGGCTGGCATAGGCTCAACTGGGCTTGAGAAAAACATTTTCCCAGGGGCATCTGGAAGTGGTGATGCTGACCAGGACCCTTCCGGAACTAAGAAATTGCAAGGGAATACACTTCCTTCTTTCTGCTCTTCACTTTAAATGTTCCCCCAAAATAAAGTTCGCTCCTCCCTGGGAGTTTTCTAATTGGCCAGAGACTGGCCGGCAGAAGCCATCTCACAGAGCCTGGCTTCCAGAGCTCCTAAGCCTCCGCCTGAGCTTTGCAGATTGTGAGCACTGCAAGTGCTTAGCAGCAAGCTAAGCTGTCCCCATGTTTAGCTCTGACCTCCTCCTGATGCACTGCGGGGGACCCAGGGCAGCAGAGCAGTATCAGTGCCCATGACCCCAGTGGATGCCCAACAGGCTCAGAGAGCCTCAGCCTGTCCAGCCTCGGATGACACCACCCCTATTTGGGGCGCCTTCCAGTCCCTGGGCCACCCTCTGCTGAGCCCGCGGCTGCGGATGGGCCTGGGCGAGGCGGGGCTGTGATGTCAGCCCGGGAGCCAGGGCGGGCTGCCTGGCTCTCCGCCTTCCCCAGTAATTACTTCATTTACACGGAGCAGGAAGCATCCAACTCAATAATCCAGGCAGACACACTAAAGCAATTATCTATGTAATACGTCCTGCACCATCGCCTCCCTGTGAAAAAGGAAAAGCCGAACCCAGGGAGGAAAAAAAAAAGTCCCCTTTGTCTCCCAGCCCGTGCAGCAGCCCCCAGGATTAATCCCACACCCCGCTAACACATTCATCACCTCGCCGGCGATCCGGGAGCCGAGGACTTTTAATAATTCATATCGGCAGCCCGGCACTCTGTGCCCTTGTGCGGAGACACAGAACCCCGCTTGTTTCCGTAAGGAAAGCCCCGTGGCTGTGCCAGGCAGGGCGCCCCAGCCCCTCCTGCCACCGCCTCCTGGAGACAGGCCGAGCCGCAGGCTGCTGTCGGAGCCGAGCCTCGGTGGCACCTCCCTCCTACCCCCTCCTCTCCACCAACAGGATCTGCCCGTCTCCTGCCCAGGCTAAACTGCAGCAGCTCAGAGGCTGGAGCTGAAGATTGGACAGTCAGCGCCTGCAGAAACCTCCCCAGCGCAAGGAAGAGGGGATTTGGGGGATTTAGGGCAGGCACCTGCAATGCCCCCGCCGCCATCTGGACCGGGGATTCGGGCAGAGGCTGCCACTCAGGGCTCCCCCTGCATTCAGGAGATCCTCGGTGGCGAGCACCAGCTGCCAGATAGAGAGCAAGGGGTCTAAAGGGATTTGGGGAGAACTGTCCAGCCCTGAAGGCCACACCTCCTCCGACACTGAATCTGCGCTCAGTCCTCCTCCCCACCAGCCCCAGGGCTCCCCAGGGCTGCTCACCCCGCATCCTGGCTCTCCCCTCCTCCCTCCTACCATGGCTGGCCTGAGGTCTCAAAGGGCATCTGCCAGTTGCTTCTTCTCCTTTTTCCCTTCCCCTCCACCCCCTAGCTCTCCTTGCCCCTCACTGGCCAGTTCCCCAACCTTCCTCCCTCTCTAAGTGCCTCACACAATAACCCTGGGGCTCTCAGCTGGCGACATCCTGGTCCATCATTATGTCCGCTGGCCCCTCATTCCCACCATCCCCTGCCCACGTACCAGATCAGCTCCTTCGGGAGCTTCCCACTGAATCTGAGACGCCAGCCCTTGGCCCCAACCTCTGAGCCCTGAGAAGCAGGCACTCGGACCCCTCCCACTGAGGAGGCTGAGTCTTGGGGCTGACCTGAGCCCGACCCTGGGAACCCCCCCCTCCACAGCTCCTCCCTGCTGGACTTCCACTCGTTCAGTGGGAAGAGGCAGGGTGGGGCTGGTGGCCTCTGCGCTCCAGCTAGGCTGGGGGCCCAGCTGGACCCTTGGAGACAGCAGCCCCAAAGCTGCTCTAGCCCAGGGGAGGAACTCAAATGTAATCAATTCAAACAGCATCAGTCCTTACTGGGGATTCTGGAGGGAGCTGGGGGCATCAAGAGGTCTATAATTAGCATTCTCAGCATCCATGATCCCCAAGTAATGCTGCCAAGGATGAGGGATGGGGAAGGCAAGGGAACCGCAGTGCACACAGCCTGGGCTCACACGCCAGGCAGGTGGCTGCCAGCCCTGACCGGAGCCCAACCTTCCTCCTCCCACCTCATCCATCTGATGCCTCCAAACAGACTCACCGACTTGCTTCAGAGGTGTGATCCGTGCTGAGAGCGCTAACTCTGCCAGCCCCAAGGCTCCCCTCCCCCAGCTCAAGCCAGCTGGGGTCCTCCTCCCCTGCCCCTGGGGGCCCCCTTCTGAAGAGCGGGGCTCTGGATCTAATCTGATCTAATCAGTCATCTCTCCGGCTGGCAGGTCCCTGGCGCAGGGGAGAGGATGCTGTTGTGGTTACTGCAGGACCCAGCATCTTTCCCAGGCAGAAGCAGCTGGGCATGCTCTATCGGCTCCCGCGGGGATTTCAGGGCCACGTGACTCTCCCTCCCCAAGCTGTCACTTAGGATCAGAAGTAAATAGTCCTGGAAAAGGTTTAACTCCATCCACACCAGTGACAAGCTGCTAACCACCCTTGCAGCCAACCCGCCAGGGAGAGGATGGGGTGGTTCGGCCCACCCTCCCTGGCCTCCCACCACAGACAAGACTGCCCCCCAAAGGGCAGCTGGGCCAGCTGCATTCCTAGCGCCTGCCCACAGGGGACTGCAGGGAGCCAGAAACTGCCTGGGGGGCCTCAGCCTGCCGCCTCCTGCACCCAGCCTGCCAGTGGTCACCTTTCAGCACTGTGGCTGCCCACCCCAGAGAGGAGCATGTTTCTGGGGTCAGGAGGGCTCAGTTGGGGGCCCTGCTGCCTTCACAGCCCCAGCCCAATGGATTTAAAGAACTAATATGTAGAGGTGGCTGGAGACCTTTGTAAGACACCAGGGTCTCCTAGTCCTCAGCCCAAATTGGTCTCCAATGACCTTGAACGAGAATGCTAGCCAAGCCAGGGGGCACCTGGGTTCTGCATTATGGATGGTCAAAGGCAGAAGCGCTCGAACAAGAGCATTGTGGCCCTGCTTCTGCGGTAGACAAAGATGTTCCCCTTCTCTTGTATTATCTCATTCTTGCTCTGCCTCAGTTTCCCTCTCTGCACACCTCTGTGGATGCTGGAAAAATAAGATTCTCGGTGCCAATGAGCAAGTGCCCTGGAAACACTGACTTCATAACCAGACCAGAAAGATGGGGAGAAAAGGGAGGGTTCTCAAGTCAACCCACAGGAGGAGCCTGGTTAGCTGGGATGGGGGACATGGAGGAGATTTGGGCCACACACCGGAGTGAGTGCAGTCAGGAGCCTGGGGAGGTACTGGGGGACTTCCAGCCTAGAGCAGGCCACGCAGAACTGGGACTCTCAGGCCAGAGAAGCATGCACAGCCTAGCAGTCCTGGTGGAGGGGGTCCCTTGGCCATCTTTTCCCCTTTCCACAGCCTGGCCGAGATGTCAGGCTGGGACTCTGGAAAGCCGCTCATTGAAGGCGCAGGGAAGCTGGGAGCGAGGGCCCAGCGCCAGGCAGGATGGATTCAGCCCGTCTCACCTGCCGGCTCTGCAGGACTTGGCAAGGCTGCCTGGCCCAAGCAGGGGGGGAGTCTGCTTCCAGGTAGCCAAAGATGAGGGGTCCCGGAGGTCTCTGGCCTTGAGCTTATGAAGCAAAGTGGGGCTGGAGCGAGAGATTACAGCCCCTGGGACGAGTGTGGGAAGGGGACAAGGACCCTAGCCCCCCAGCCCCCAGAATCCTCAGGCAGCTGGAGAAGTGGCTGACAGACGGGCCTGCTGGGAGGGTTTCCTCTCTGGCAGACAGAGGGCAAAGGCGGCAGTGGAGGCCCTGGATCTTCCAAGAAGCCCGAGACAGACTGGTCACACTTCTGGGTACCCCTGGGCTCAGGGGGATGAGAGGCCCAGGGGAGGATGGGCGGGTACTGTGGCTTCACTGTGGGAGCCACATGGTGAAGATAGCCTCAGGGCGGGCATCCGGGTTCCAGCAAAGACCAGTGGAGTGCAGCAGAGAGGGCAGAGTCCTTCGTCCCAATCTGAATTCTCTCCCTGTCAGCCCAGTAGAGAAGTCAGACAGGTCTGGAGAAGGTGGGGAGGAGGGATGAGGGGCACAGGATTCCAAAGAAGGCTTCTCTGAGGTCCCGCCTCTGCTCCAGACTCGCCCCTGTGGCTCAGGATCAAGTTCAACTCCTCAGTTGCGATTCAGTCTCTGAACACTTGAAGCGTCAAGGCTGCCCCACGCCACATGGGTGGCCACGAGAAGGATGGATTCACTGCCCCTCAGCACCCACTCCTCACCCTGGACCTTATCCACGCGGGCCTCCCTCCCTCCGAGTGGGGAGCAGGAAGGGGAGCCAGCTTGGGTCTCTGATGACCAACCACAGCTCCATCCTGAACTCAGTGCCTGGGAACCAGCTTCTTCTCAGCTGAACCTCAGTTTTCCTCACCTGCAAATGGAGCTCAGACCACCTTCCTCCTCCCCACCCCCTCCTTCCCCGTATCTGCCTTTCTGAGGACAGAGCTGCTAGGGCCAGAATTGCGACCTGTGACTTTCCACTTGCCTGCCTTCTGGAGACCACAGAACAGTCTTAGTGCACCTCCCTTCCTGGGCCTCCTCTGGGGTCCCACAGGTGGGGTCTGTATGGCCTTTTAGGGGTCACCTGAGTGTCACCACCCAGCCCTTCGGCACCTGGGAGAGAGCACCGGCTCCAATACCTCCGTTCTGAGCAGCCCCCAGGCTGGTGCTGCCCAGCTCACTGTGTGCCACCTGAGGATTCTGGCACCTTCTTGGACACAAGGAAGAAGTGACAGGGCTGGGTGGGGCTCCCTGGGTGGAGCAGCAGCTGGGGTTTATCAGGGATGTGTCTCTGCAGGACGAGTCCCTGTCACATCTCCTCCCCTGCTGACTCTGGAGAGAGAGGAAGAGCCGCCCTTGGAGACAGAACTGATTCTGTCCTGCAGCGGGGTGCTGGAGCAGGGAGCCAGGGAAGGACACGAGGCCCCAGAAGAGAATTCTTATTGGTCAGGAACAGGTGGCACCCAGCCAGATCTTTAGGATTCAGAAAGAAGTCCACCAGACCTACGGTGGTTGAGTAGTGGCAGGGGAGGGTCAAGATGGCCCTGTCAGCTCCTGGAAGGCAGCACCATCAGCCTGGAGAGAATCTGTGGGTCACCATGGAGCAAACCCCTAAAGGCCGGATGTGGCTGATCATGCGTGTTCTGGCACCCTCTTGTGGATAAGATGGAAAGTGCATACGTGCTGGTAATGGGCTTTACCTATCTCTCTCTCCCTCTCTCCTTTCCCCAGGTACTGGGGATCGAACCCGGGGAACTTTACCAGTGAATTCTCAGCCCCACCCCTTTAAAAAAAAATTTCAGACAGGATCTCACTAAGTTGCCCAGACTGGCAAACTGGAACTTGCCATCCTGCCTTAGCCGTCCGGAGTAGCTGGACTTACAGGTGTGCACCACCACACCCACACACACTCTGGTGTGTGGCCCAAATCTACTGATCCACCTTTTCACCTTTTGCTTTTCTTTTCTTTTCTCCCCACACCCTCCTTCCTGTCAAATGACACCTTCAAACTGCAGGTACTCTGGAGTAACACATCACTTGTGGGTACCATGTGAATCCCCCCTCCCAGACACCATGAAGGAAAGAGCTTACTGAAACACAATTATCATGCTTGTTAGATCCTGGGAAAATATCAGTATTTGCTTATTGAAATTGATCCATCCATACTGGAAGAATATGTCTGGATATCTCAGTTTTATTATTACCTCTTGGGATCCATGTCTTGGGTCCTCAGAGTTTCTAATTCATCTACCAACACAATGTCATATATCTGGGTAGGGAAAAGACTTAAAATCAGCATACTTTAGTGATGGGGAACACATCAATGTTTATAGTGGCTCCATTCACAATGGCTAAGCTATGAAACCAATCTAGGTGCCCTTTAACAGATGAATGGATAAAGGGAATTCGGTATGGATCACACGATAGAATATTACTCAGTCATAAAGAAGAATGGAATTATGGCATTTTCCAGTAAATGGATGGAACTGGAGACTATTATGCTAAGTGAAAGAAGTCAGTCCCAAAAAACAAAGGCCAAATGTTCTCTGATATTCGGATGCTGACTCACAATATGGATGGGATAGGGAAGAAGAGAAGCTCATTGGATTAGACAAAGGGGAATGGAGGGAAGGGAGGGAGGATGGGAATGGGAAAGACAGTAGAATGAATGGGACATCACTTTCCTCTTTTCACTATGAACACACGACCAGTGTAACTCCATATCACGTATAACCACAAGAATGGGAAGTGATGCTCCATGTGTGTGGATGATCTGTCAAAATACATTCTACTGTCATGTACAACTAAAAAAAGAACAAATAAAAATTTTTTTAAAAAAAACAGAGTGGGAATGGATTATAGAGGCGAATGTGAAAATAAGGAGCGTGGACCAGAGTCTTCCACTCACTTTTTACTAAGGGTTCTTGGGTGCGTTCCTCATCCAGGCCTGGGGTGAACAGCTGTGGCATTACGTTACTGTCACAGCCTGGGAAATCCTGACTTTCTCCCAGCTCCGCGACCTTGAACAATTTATTTACGGTCTGGGTTTCCTAGTTGTTTGCAAAAATAGTTGGGAGTTGAGAGAACACGCTAAAGCGCTCAGCTCTGAGCCGCTCCTGCTGCTACTGATGCAGTACAGCCACCGCGTTGCACACAGGGACAGGCGATGAATGGCAGCCGACACTTCATTACAATATGTGATAGGACAATGTCATCTATGTCCCAGACTTTCTGGCCACGCTGTGTCGCCCCTGCCCTTGAAGAGTTTCCCATCTAGACCAGCGCTTCCCCATTGCATGGTCCCCAGAACAGCAGCATCAGGGTCACCCAGAAACCTACAGAAGATGCAAAGTCCAGACTCCTTGAATCAGAAACGCTAGGGTACAGCCCAGCAATGGTTTTCAATAAACCCTCCAGTGACCTGGACGCACACTCGGGCGGGAAGATTACAGATGGAGGTAAAAGGATACACGTAGAAACAATTAAATGCAGAGGGCATCCCTGAAGGAGGGAGGTCCTGGGCAGGGTTTGAAGGAAGAGAAGTTGTCCTCAGTGGACCCAAGCCATGTTGGAAGAGGGAGCAGCGCTCACAAGGGCTCAGATGCTGGGAGTCAGGCGTGTGAGGAGGGACCCACAAGGGCTTGGTGTGGCTCCAGGAGAGGGTTAGCGAGCAGAGCAGACTGGTAGTGTGGGAGGTGAGGCTGGGAAGGGAGGCAGGAGCCAGATCATGATGCCCTTTAAGTGCCTAGACAAGGAAATGGAGAATGATAGGAACAAATTTGTACCCCACCCAAAAAAAAAAAAAAGAAAAGAAAAGAAATACTCTTGCAGCACCACGGCCCAGAGGCAGGCGGAGTCACAGAGCAGCTGCAGGAATGACCAGGTGAGCTCCAGGTGCCCTTGACAGT